CTTTTTTTTATTCTCTTTAAAATAAAAAAATTTTACAACTAAAATAAAGATACATAGCATAATCTATAAATAAACCATTAAAGTGTCACAACAAAAATACATCTAATGATCATACAAATAAATGATCCAAAACTGGGTTTAAATATTCAGTGAATCCAAAAGACAGAAAAACAAAGAAAGAGGACAAAGAGCAGATGGAGCAAATAGAAAACAAATGGCAAGATGACAGGCCAGGTGCCCAGCTGGGAGAATCCCAGGGCCAGGCAGGTGGGGTTGGCATTCGCTGCCCATGAAGCAAATCTGAAGGCACTGCAGCAGAACAGGGTGGAGACGGCCTCAAAAGTGGGGAGACCTGAAGTCCCGGAGCAAAGGACTGCTTGGAGACACAAGAGGCAGCAGCAGATAGCTCTGGAAGAAAAGCATGGTCGCAGAGAAATGGGTAAATGACTGGACGTAGTGTCCAGCCCAAGATTTTAAACACTCAGCACTAGAACTGAAGTGTCTCTTAGCAACAGAGATGGAGGACGCAGAGTTACAGAGCACCTTCCCTCAATCAGGTCACGCTTCTCTCCACAGGATTCTCTTACTTGGCCTTCGGTGGTGTCAGGGCGTGATGCAGTTACACGGAGGTGCTGTAACTCCCTTCTCCGCCTCCAGCCTGAGAACTGATCATTCTCAGATAACTTTCATCAAGCTCTTAGAGTTCCCTGGGAGAAGAACAGACTACTCCTACAGAGCAAGTGACCAAACCAGCTATGAAAGACAAGTAAGCAGAACTATACACAGAACCAGCATTTAAACACCAAAGCTTTTTTCTATACAGCAGAAATGAGCTAGCTGAGAAGGAAATCAAGAAAACAGTTCCATTCACAATAGTATCAAAACGTGCAGCACCTAAGAAAATCCTAACCATGGAGATGAAAGACCTCTACAATGGGAACACAGAACACTGAAGAAATAAATAGAAGAAAATACCAGAAGATGGAAAGACCACTCATGTACACTTAGAACCGTGTAGATGCGAGGACAAAGTTACAGACCAAAGGAAGAGCTTAGGAGAGTTTCTACTGGAAATAAGAACAGCTCCTGTATTTCCAAGGGGGTCCCAAATGAGATGGCTTACATGACCCCCTGATCTAGAGGAACTCTGGATAAATAGAGCCCAGGAATTGCTCAGTTGTTCAGGGTCCCTCTCAAGGATGGCTCGGTGGATTTAAAGTGACCAACTGGAACTCGGGTTTTTAGCCCAGTTCCTCGACACGTAGAGTTTACAGGAAACTGAGATCTCAGAAGTGCACCAGGGTACAACTCTGCAGGCAAACACCTGCCTGACAAACATGAAGTCCTGAGTTCAATTTCCAGGACAAAAAAAATTTTTTTCAGAAGAAACTGGTTCCTCCGAATTAGAACTTAGCAGGGAGTGGCCACAGCTCCATTTAGTAGGGGCAGCCTGCATTCTGTTGTTATTTTTATCAACACGGCTGGTGACCCTGCTCTATCCCAGGTGCTTCCCCCAGCTGCCTTACAAACACACCCAATAAACTACACATGGATTGGCAAAATTATTATTGTCAAATGGTGACATTTCCAAAGGCAATCTGCAGATTCAACACAATCTCCATCAAAATTCCAACATCTTTCACAAAAAAAAAAAAAATCCTAAAATTCATACAGAGACCAAAAAGACCCAGAATAGCCAAAGCATCCCTAAACAGGAAGAGAAAGGTTGTGGATATCAGAACACCCAAATTCAAACTGCAAGACCACAGAAACAAAAACAGCATGACCCTGGTACCAATAGACGAAGTAGACAGTGGAATAAATAAGGAACGCTGAAATAAACCCACATGGCTACAGCCATCTGGTTCCAGAGAAGGAGCCAAAAACACACGGGAAAAAAGGCAGCCTCTTTAAGCTTTGGTGCTGGGGAAACCAGAGATCCACTTGCAGAAGACTGAAACTAGATCCTTATCTAGATCCCTGTATGAAAATCAGTCAGTAACCTACACATAAACCTGGAACCTTGAAACAGCTAGAATAAGCATAGGAAAAGCATATGAAGCCACAGCCACAGGCAAAGGTGTCCAGCATAGGACTCTGCTAGCACAGGAAATAGCAGCAAGAATCAACAACTGGGACAATGGCAGATTAAAAAGTTTCGGCATAGCAAAGGAAGCCATTAACGGAGTAAAGACAGAACCCACTGAAGGGAAGAAAACCCTCACCAACTACTCTTCCCACAAAGGACTGTTATCTAGAATACATGAAGAATTCAAAACACACACACACAAAAATAGTCCAATAAATAAATGAGTAACCAGATACTTCTCAAAAGAAGCACAAAAAAGCCGGGCATGGTGACACACGCCTGTATTTCTAGCACTCAAGAGGCTGAGCAGGAGGATCACCATGAGTTCAAGTCCCAGCCTGGGATACATAAGCAAGTTCAAGGCAGGATAAACTGTATGGCAAGACCCTGCCTAAAAAATAAATAAACAGGCTAGAGATTTAGCCAGCAACACAGCACTTGCCTGAGTTCGATTCCTGATATCAAAAGGAAGAGAGAGAGAGAGAAAGAGAGAGAGAGAGAGAACAGGAACAAGACCAACATCGTTAGCGATTCGAGAAATGCAAATTAATACACCAAGACCCACCTCACCCCCCTCAGAACAGCTGTCATCAGGGCTACAAAATTTTATAAAAGTACATTAAAAGTACATCAAAGTACGTTATTCACAAGAACCAATCAGGGAGAATGATTTGCCAGTGCTGTTTAAATAGCCATGCAAAGCATTCTGGGTAATTCCATACCTAGACATTTTGCCTAAGTCAATAGCTGTTCCCAAAGGGGAAAGGCCATTTTTATAAAGATGTCTATGATTGTCTTATGTATCACAGTACTATGAGTTAAATTTTCCATCAGGCCATGGCTACTGTCTGATATGTCACCAAGAAAAAACCCAGGTTCAGCCCTCAGGAGGGACCATTATGAAGACCAATAAACATCTTCTCAAACTTATGAATAATAGGTGAGAGCCTGAGTATAAATTACAGCCATGATATGTTTTTCCACTGGCAAGAGTTCCTGATTTGGAAGGACAGTGGGATTCTGGGTCTTTTTAACAGATTCAGCCTGCTCTTGTCATTTCTTCTGCTCATTATACAAAATGTTCAGGAAATAGTGTGTTAAGTATTAAATGTCTACTAAAATAGATTAAATCTATCCTAGAAATGAGGAGTGTCCTCCACAGGCAAGGAGGGAACCAGACTGTTCCCTGCTGCCCACAGCTCTGAGGGTTTCCAGGGCCATCTCAGCTGTCTGGGCTCCTCCTCAAACCCTGCCCTTTGACATCTGTGGCTCCACCCCTGATCTTGATCCCAAGGGACAGAGGCAAGCGACTCACCTAAAACGCAAGACCAAGTCCTCCTGCTCCTTCGTGCTTGGATTTCTGCCTGGGTGAAGCTGAGAATGAGTAACAAAGACATAGACAGACAGACAGACAGACAGACAGTTGGAACCAAAGCCAGGAGCCTGCTGGCCGGGTGCAGAGAACCAGCGTGGCATCCCAGCTCTGCCCAGGGGTTATCGGGGCCCCAGGGCTCAGTTGTGGTGGCCTCACCTATGGTGATGGAGGTGACATTTCCTCCCAGGTCCAGCCCTTCTCTTGCAGGAAGATGATTTCTTCACAAGACTCCTCTGAGTTCGGGAAGCTCACGGGTCTCCTGGTCTCCCAGTTCTGACTCCAGCTCCATATGCTCACTCTCTATGGCTTCACTTTGGAAAGAAGTGATTATCCCAGGTCCCTAGCCAGGAACGGTGCTCACCTCCAATTCCTCCTCCCCACCTCCCTCCGCTCAAACCACAGCTGGCCACTTGTCCCAACAGTGTCCTGGGACACCGAGCCGTCCTGCTGCCAGGCTCTCCCCTGACAACGCCTGTGTGAGCCTCTTTGGCCCCCCTTCCCTTCTCCTCTCCCCCCAACGCTTCCGGTCCACCTGAAATGTCTGTCAGCTCCCTGGGAAAACAATGCTTCATCAGTTATCTGTCTCCAGTTCTTTCTCATTTGAGAGACACATCTTTTTTTTTTTTTTTTTTCCTTTTTATCGGTACCAGGGATCGAACCCACGACTGCCTGCTTGCAACGCAGGCGCTTATGCCACTGAGCTAAATCCCCAGCCGAGAGACACATCTTTTTAAAGAAATGCATTTAGACAAGATGCAGTGTCAAATATCTATAATCCCCCCACTCAGGAGGCTGAAGCAGGAGAATCACCTGGAGTTCCAGCCCAGCCTGTGCTACATAGGGTGCTGAAGGGCAGCTTCAGTTACATAGAGATACCGAGACCCTGCCTCAAAAATAAGCCACATGGAAATAAACGAGTGCATTTAAAAGTTTCGAGGGGCAACCTCCTCTATGAAGCAGGCCAAGAGGTAAAACACTAATCGAACCATAACACGAACACTGAATCTGACCCTAACTCTAAACTGACCCTAAGCTCACCTCAACCCTAACTCTGGCCTCTACCAAGGGCAAGGAATAGGAGCGCCGCAGGTGCCCAGAGAGGCGACCGTCCCTGAGTTTGAAGAGCAAAGCGAGGCTGAATCCTGGGCCTCTGCAGACAATCTGGGGCGCGCGCCCGGCAGGGGGCGGCAGAGACCCGCGGGGACAAGGCTGGGGCGCGGGGCGCTGCGCCTGGCTCCCGGGCTCCGAGAAGGGCGCTGCGCTGGGGAGGCTCCGGGGTGCTCAGGCCGGAGTCCCTCTGGGACTAGGCGCCAGGGGCGCGGCCTGAGGATGCTCTCGGGGACTCCGCCCTGCACCCCACCCACGGGCCCTGCTCCCGCCTGCTTCCCACACCGCCTTCGGCCCATCCCACCCCGCGGGTGCAATGCACCCGGGCTCAGGCCAGAGTCGCGCGGGAGGTCAGGGGCCCCGCGGCCCCGCCGCGCTCTCCGCCCTGCTCCGCTAGCCGGGTCTTTCCAGGAGCCGAGGGCGTGCGGCCTCCAGCCCGGCTGTGCTCTCGGCGACTTGCAGTCTCCAGAGCAGCGCGGGCTCGGTGACCCAGGCCGGGCCGCCAGCAGAACTGGGATCCGATCCTGCGGCCGGGAGAGGCGGGGCTGGGCCTCCATGGAGGTTCCCGGAGGTAGGAGGTGGAAGTGAGATCACAGGGCGCCTACTGAGACGCAGGACGCCTTCCACAGGGAGGTCGCCTCCCAGCTCACCCGCTCACCAGAGGTTGCGAGCTCTGGGGTCCGGAGGCAAGGACAGGGCTTCCCCGCCCCCCAGAAATGCTGCTCCTGCTGGCGGAAGCCGGCTGTCCTCCACCCGGCCGCGTCCTGTGCTTCTGGCTGAGCAGGGCACAGACCTGGCACCTGGGGGCCACACTCAGGGGTGGGGGGGGGTGTCAGGGCGCACACGCAGCTGTGTGTCCCCAGAGCACCCAGAGCAGCTCTCCTACCCAGCCTGGGCCTTCCTCCTCTCCCGGCCTCCTGGAGCCCTCGCATGTACTGTCCCTGAGCCGTCTCTGACAGCTGTCTCTGGGCATCTCCACGACAGTAACCAGCCTGCCCAGGATGCCTGGGTGGCCCAGCTCCTTTCCAGGCAGCTGGGACACCAACCTCTTCTCGTGTCAAGACTCACAGGCCCTTTACCTCTGCTCTCTGGCTTTCTCCTAGCTGGACCTTCCTGGCACCTTTTGAGAGAGTGAGACGTCTGCTTCCCAGGCATGGCGTTAAAATCCTTCTGCTTGGATTTTTAAGCTTCATCCTGGCCAACCTGTAAAGACAAGCCCACTTTTCACAGCGCCAAGTCCCCAGAGTTTCAGAGCTGCTGCTTTAACTCTGACAGCCCAGAGTGGCCCTGCAGCCCTCTCCTTCTGGCTCAGAGGTGACTCTCCAGCTGCGGCCCCTGCAGCCTCTTCCTGCCTGTTGAACACATCCTGCAGGATTCCCTGCGTTTTGCTGACTGTGGCTGTCACTTGCACCTGTCCAGGCCCAGCAGGAGACAACTCTGAGTGTCGATGTGGTCTCGGGGTGCTGGGCTGTGTGAATGCTTGGTTAATCATGCATTAGAGAAACCCAGATCCAACGGCAGGGCCAGCAGCGTCGTCATTTCCAATACTGATGACATTAAACCAGACTTCAGAGTGTGCGCCACAGCCCCAGGAGGATAAGGAACTGGGTGACAAGGTCCAAAGTCATGAGGGCTACACGGCAGCCACCCAAGGGTGGGATGTTCACGTCACAGCTCACCTGCCAGGCTGAGACCAGCTGCCAAGGCTGTAGGCAGCTGGATAGGCTGTGCTCATGTGTGCATGCATGTGTGTGACTGTCCCACACCACGGGAGGGTGTGTTGAAGACCCTTTAGCACAGCCTGAGCATACCCTCCTCTGGCACCTGCCCATGCCACTCCATCCCCACTGTCACCTGTCAACCTGGCAGGGAGGCCGAACTCTGTCCCAATTCCCTAACTAGAAAGAGCCCTTTCTGCCCCCTAGCCTGATCGTACAGGCCTGGGGCACCTCTCTGTCCCCCAGCTTCCTCTGGGACTCTGTGGGGACCAGTGGGTCTCTGTCCTCAGAGGCCTTGAGATGCATGCAGAGGGGCTATGCTGGAACCGGGGCCTCCTGTCCCCTAGATGGACTCTGCTGTGTCCACTTTCGGCCTCAAATCAGGCCAGGGACGATCATTGCATTCCACACCCCGACCTGTGGGTGCCACTGCTCTAGATGTTACCCTGAAACATGGTTAGAGAAGTCGGTGGTTGAATCAATAGATTTTGGCATTTGCAGGAAAATGGGTGGAACTGACTGAGATGATCCCTGCAAGCAAAACAAGCTGGTGAGGAATCTTTTTTAAAAATGAGAGGTTAGAGAAAATAGAAAGCAGATGATTAGAGATGAGGAAGGGGCTGGGGTAGAGGAGACAGAAGGGTTAAGAGGAGTTGAAAATGATCAGAGTGTGTGGTGCGTAGGTGCCAGCACCCCTAAATGAACTCCAGCCTTGTGCATTCTTATACTCACTGATCAAATTAAAGAAGCGAACAGAGCAGCAGACTTAAACAGAGTGATGGGCTCCACAGAGCTGAGCGGGACTGGGCTGCTAGGCGGGGTCAGCCCTAAACACCGGGGATCACTGCACAGGCCGGAGTGGAGCAGGTGGCTACGGGCTCCAACGCTGCACCGCTGGCTGCTTAGGGGATCAATGGGGGCGGGACAGGAGGGAAGCCCAGAAGAAAGAGCCTCAAACGCCAGTCCTCCCCGGGGCTGCTGTCCAATGCAAGTGCTCTCGGTCCCCAAGAACAGCTTATCCACCAAATGGAACTGTCACATTGGAACCTCTGGAGGCCTAGGAATGTATGGGTCATCAAAATAATGCAAATAAATTTGGTTTTGGAAATGGAGAGGAGGGAAGAATCCAACGTGAGCTGGTGAGTGTCCATAATGAGTGAAACATGACCTAGCTTCCTGCGACCCTCCTATCTTATTCCCTAGGAAGTCTGAGGGCAACATTTGGCCTAAAAGAAAATGGAGTGCTAAAGTAAATCTTCAACTGGGAGGACTTCCAGTTTTTCTGTTATATTACCCAACTAGCTTTAAAATAGTGTTCCAGTGCCTGAAACTTGGAAATTCTTATATTTTTCTCTTTATGATGATCAAGGACTTAAAAAGGACCTGATCCAACTTTAACTTTCCTTTTAGAGTCTATGCCATAAATTAGTGATTAATAACAAATAACATTTTTAATATTTAATGTGTACCGGGAACCATGAGGTGCTTTGTGTATGTTATCTTATGTTAATAAGATCACTTCGTGTATCATTATGGCAATAATGGGTATCATTTCTTGACAGTTTACCTCTAACCACAATCTCCTGGGGACACGATGACTCCCCAGGCTCAGAAAACTGTGCCCCAAGCCAAAAAAAAAAAAATGTAGGAAATGGATTAGCCAAAGCGAAATGCAGGTCTCTAATTTCAAATTTTGCTCTTTCCACAATACATTAGGCTATCAATTAGCGTTCCTCCTGGACTAAAACTTTTAATTTCCCATTTCTTTTGAACATATTACTCAGAGACTATTTGCAAATCTCTTGCTTGTCTTTTCCTATCCTTCTTGACTTCTTATTGAGCATAAATGTTTTAAATGTTTGAGGAACCCGATTTAGTGTGTGTGTGTGTTTATGGACTGTAAATTTGGGTTCATGTCTAAGAAATCTTTGCCTAACTCAAAATCTCAAAGATTTTAAGTTTTCTTCTAAGACTTTTGTGCTATTAGCTTTACAGTTAAGTCTATGGTACATTTGGTGTTAATTTTGTCACTCACTGATGGAAGTATATACAAGTTCACCTACGGAGACAGTTCAGCAGTGTCGTGTAATTTTCAGTATATAATGCTTGTGCTTCTTCAGATAAATTTACTCCTAAGCATTTTGTTCTTTTAATATTATTGGTATATTTTGTTCTTAATTTCATTTTCAGATTCTTCTCTGCATAGAAATGCAACTGATTTTTGTAATTTGAGCACTTGATCGTATATCTTATATCCTATAATCTTATCATACTTTTGCATTAGCTCTAAAGTGTGTTTCCTTTAGGATTTTCTACAAGAAGCTCACATCTTCTGTAAATCCTGCTTGATTATAACCATTTTCAGTTGTTGCCAGATTTGGTTTGCTAGCACTGTGTTGTGAGTTTTTGTGTCTATGCCCAAAAGATAGGCAGAGTTTCTATCATATGGCAATGATTTAAATCTCTACCAAGATTTTCCTTTAAATTCTTATTTCTATTTTTACAGTTGGCTTCCTAGGAGTCAGGCTGGATCAGTACAGACCCAGTGGTCAGTCAGTTATCAATCAGGAATGTTTTTCAGCTTCTTGAGCTCCTCTACCAGCTAACTGCTGCAAAGTCACACCTAGAAGCTCAAACATGGTTACATCTGCTCCCATAGGGTCTCAGCAAGGTCGCCTCAATTCCCAGGTCCTTCCCAGGCATGGCCATGGCCTTCACTTGCTTAGGAATGTGCCAGCACTATGTAAAGTGCCTTGTGGTCACCTAGCTCTCCAGGTCCATATGCAGAGTTGGCTGGGCTTCTTTTGTTCCAACTGAAATTGCCATCTTCTATAATCGCAGCTGTGGCTGATAGATTGTCATTGTTTTCAGTAGTGCAAGGCCTGTTGATGCCTTGAGTCAACAGGTACAGGCTACGCCATGGTAATAGAGATTTTCCAGCTTGCCTCTAGTTTAAATGATTGACTCCAGTCTGAGAATGGAGCTTTATCAGAGACAGAGAGACAGAACGTGTGTGTGTGTGTGTGTGTGTGTGTGTGTGTGTGTGTGTGTGTGTGTGTGTGTGTTTTAGGCCTCTGAGCTGCAGTGAATGTAAAGGCGGGTGGAACAGTCTCATATTGAACCACCGCACACCCTGCTATTTTTACTGAGCTTTCTGTGGCTTTTGGTTTTTGTCCTGTCTGTGAACAAGTGCTTTTCAGTTTGTCCTGTGCCTTTTGTGCATTTTCAGAGTTCTGAGAACTGTAGGTTTCTGTTGTTCTGCCATTATTTTGGTCCTTTTGTGAGAGAGCAGGTTCTCGAGATCCACTTTTCCAAAAGTCAGTTCTGCATAGCGGCCTTTTTCAAAGCTGCCTTGAGACCTTTTGAAAATAAAGTGAGCCACAAAGCATAAAAGGATTACAGTCATCAGATGTAAAAATAGATAGCCGACAATGGAAGGCATGCACACTTCCAAAGCATTCAGGGCAAGCTCTGCAAGCCCAGCTCTTGCCCACAGGCTTCTCCGTGGTCCTCATCTTCTTTCTAGCATTCAAGCCTAAAAGATGCTTCCAGATACATGGGAGACTTTTACCTGTAATCCTGACTCAGGAACCCCTGGCAGTGTCACCAAGAACTTCTGCCTTAAGATTTCCTCAGGAGCAAAGAAGAAATCTGCCAAACAGTGTACCCACAAGTGCAAACCACTGGGCTGTCACGTCTGATTAAAGCCACAGGTTGGGGAGTCCCTGCTCACCTGCACCCAGGATGTTTGGGGAACCCCATGGTGAACAAACTCTGCGTATTTCCTTTGTATTTCCTCTATGTGTTTCCTGTTAAGAATAGAAATAGATGCTGGAGCAGGCTGATAACCAAGGTTCCTGCTGCATCTGTCATTGGACTGGCAGCAGTCCACCACTACCACTCCCACAGTGGCGCCCACAGAGCTTGCTCCTTGCCTTCAGAAAAGCAGAGAACATGAGGTTCCACAGCCCGGGATTCGCACACTTCTAAGACCAATGCCTGTCTGTCAGGCAGGGATCCTCTGCTGCATCAGGAGCAGTGAAGTGAAGTGAAGGGTTACCAGAGTCTTGATACTAATCACAGAGAGAAAATGGTGTGTCATCAAAAAGAAGAGAAAACCGGAACCTAAAATATATGTAGTTGACTGGAAGCAAGAGTCTGAGCCAGTGACGTGTTTGGAGCATGCTGTCATCTCTGTGGCTTCATTAATACCGCCAAGGGGTGGACAGAGCCACTGCTGGCCAGGACACGGTCCTCAGCCCCGCTGGCCCATTGCCCCTGAGCTGCTGTGACCAGGCATTTCAACAATGTGCTTTTCTGGACATCACCCAGGTACAGCCCTCTCCTCACCAGGACCCAGGCTTCCAGGGCTCTTCTGGCTCCTGTTCTGTTAGACCTCGGCTCTGATCTCCATTCCTAAGCTCTGTTCATTTACCTGTGTGTATGTGTGTGTACGCACCACACACAGAGGATACGAAATTAACAATGTGACAAGTGCAGCTCAGAGGTGGTACAGAAAATGCAAAGAGAGGCTTTATTCAGAAGCCTTACCTACTTCATCCCTTGACTAAATTTCTGAGGAATGAATCTCCATCAAGGCAGCACTCCTTCACACCCAACCTTCATCCCTGACCTAGTCTAGCCAGAGAGGGAGGTAGACACCGGCACAGCCCACAGGAATAGGAAGAGAGTCAGCCCAAGCCAGGATGCCAGGGGAGCTTGATTACGCAGAGTGAGCTGGTTCAGACCAAACTACATGTGGCAGGAAGCCCATGAGGTCATGGAGTCACTCAGTCCCAGACCTCCACATCCAACTCCCTAAACACACACACACCCACGTGCATGCACACACACACACACACACACACAGGCTTACACACGTGTACAATGCACACACCAATAAAGAGACAACAGAACACAGATGTACATGCACAAAGACACAGCAAACACATAGCTACCCAGATATACATGACTACACACACCCATAAAACATTGCGTTAGTCAGTTTCCTGATGCTGGGCCAAAATACCCGAGAACAAAGATGGGCATGGTGGAGTACACTTGTAATCCCAGTACTTGGGAGGCTGAGGCAAGAGAGTCACTGTGAGTTCAAAGCCTACCTGGGCTACATAGTGAGTTCAATCATATAATGAGTGAATCATGGTGAGTGAACCACATAATGAACCCTGCCTCAAAAAAAAAAAAAACAAAAGAAAACAAAAACAAAAACAAAATATCTGAATCAAACGACTTAAAGCAGGAAAGATTTGCTCTGGCTCACAGTTCCTCTATGCTCCATTAGCACCATACTCCCCTGCTGCCATGTTCAGAACAACATGGCGGCAGAAGAGTATGAAGAAGCTGCTTACCTCATCCATCCAGGAAGAGAGAGAGGGAAAGAGACAGAGAGAGACGGTGGGGGAGGGTGGAAAGAGAAGGGGGAGGCTGGGACCTGACATACTTTCAGGGCATACCCTACCCTCAGTGGCCCACCTCAACCAGGCCCCACCTCAATTTCCCAACATCCCCTGGTAACATGAGGCTCAGGAAGACGAGCACCATACAATTAAAATGTGGACCTCATGAAAGCAGAGCATGGAGCTGTGGTGAGTAGGGCTGGTGTGTGAATGGTCAGGAAACAGGAAATTTCAGTCCTACAGAAGGGATGAGTTCCAGAGATCAATTGCACAACGAGAAAATCACAGTTCAAAACAATAACTGCATCTTGAAAATTACTGAAAGAGTGGATTTTTAAGTAGTCTACTGACCAACATGTCAGGCAACACCTGTCAGGGCATCAGACACTCCACCAGGTAGATATACGCATCACATGTAGTATGCAATAAATAGACCCAATCTTTATTTGCCAATTAAAATACATATTTTGAGTTGTTCTAAAAAGTCAATCTGTATCCCAAGAGACAATCTCAGGCCATCAGAGTAAAATCCTTTGTACATCACTGGGGCACAAGCAGAAAGGAAAAGATGTCCCCTTGGGAAGTTGCCAGAGGCCAGCAGCAGGGTGGGAGCTCTGGGAGAAGGAACAGAACCAGGGCTGGGCTATCAACAGGTGGCCACAAGAAGCACCGAGCAGGAGGTTGGCACTGGAGCAGAGAGACCAAGGGGACAGGACGGAAGAAAAAGCCAAATGCACAGCAGTTGGGGGTCTCCTCCCAAAAAGGCTGAATGGAGGTGCTCAGCTAAAACCCTGTGAATACGACCCGGTGATAGAAAGATGGAAATGACCAACAGTGACACAGACAGCATCCTCTGATACTGAATCTTCAATCCATTTTTATAAATTATATGAATTTATACAATTCTAATTCTTCACTAAATATGCTCCATGCATAGTGTAAGTTTTATCGTCTTTATACACCATCTCTATTTTTTTTTTTTTTGACACAGGGTCTCGCTATGCAGTTCAGACTGTCCTTGAACTCACCTTGAAGCCAAGGCTTATTTTGAATTTGCAGTAATTCTCCTGCCTCAGTCTCCTGCGTGCTGGAATTACAGGCATGGCCCACCCACACCTACACCACTTCAAACTGTGCTGTGATTCATTTTTTTAGGATTTAGTTCAAGAGACTTGCTCAGAACAATAAATACACCACTGTGGGGAAAGACTTTGCTAATAGAGGAGGCTTTATGTGTGTAATCAGGGGATAATGTTAGCTACATCTACCAAACCTTGCAGTGATTTTGATGGGGCCTATGTTCATTCCATACATCAGTTTAGGGAGAACCGATACCTTTGCAGTGTGCATCCTCCCAACCCACGGATGTGGTCTATCTTTCCATTTGTTTTGGTCTTCTCTGATTTCTTTCATCAGAGGTTTGCAGTGTTCAAAATGAAAGTCCTGTACAGGTTCTATTAGAGTCTCCCTTTTTTGAGATTTTAAGTGGGATTACATTTTTAATTTGATCTCCATATATTCCCAGAGATGGAAGATTATGGTTGGCTTTTGCATTTCGATCGCTTGTCCTGTGGCTTTGCTGGACTCATTCTAAGAGATATCTTTGTAGATTTTGGGGGCTTCTCATAGAGATAATCATACCATCAGCAACTAGGGACAGCGTCATGTCCGCCTTTCTCATTCCTATACGTTAGTTTCCTTTTCTTCCCTTACTGAAGAAGC